AGAAGGAGGCTCAGTCCGTGCCCAACATCGAGTACCTGCTCCCCAACATCGGCAGGACCGCGGCGCCCGGCGATGCCGCAGGTGAGCAGCAGTGCCTGCGGCACCCGCCCCTCCGCTTCTGGCACCGGGGCACCCCGGGGTCCCCCTCCAGCTGCTCCGTGTCCCCCCCCCCCCCCCCCCCCATCACTGCGGGCAGCCAGCCCGGCTCGCCATGGCCACGGCAAACCCACGCGTGCTGGAGCGGGACGTCCCGGCGCCCTCCTCGCTGGAACGCGGGGACATCCCCCCCGGGGGTGCCAGCAGAGCCCCCTCCCCGCCCTCTCCCGTCACCCTTCTCTCCGGTGGCTGCTCCTCGTCCCTCCGCAAACCCGGCAGCCCACGGGACCCCTGCCCGCTCCCGCTTCCCCGCGCCGGCCCACGCTGCCAACCCAGAGACTGGGAGACTCTGATGTTCGACTGATTTCTTACGTTCTTTCCTTGAACTTCTCTGTGCTGTCCTCTTCCTCCTCCTCCTCCTCTTCCTCCTCCAGCGGACCTCCTCGAGAGCTAGAGCGGGTACAGTGTTGATCCTGGGTGCATTGCTCACGCACTAACTCCTCGGGGTGACCATGAGAGAGCGGGAGCTGCGGGGGGCTGTGGGAGGGAAGGGGGCCCTGTCCTGCCTGGCCACTGTCCCCAGGCTCCCCGGCATCAGGAGGGGCTCCTGAGCCCCTGGGGAACCCCAAATCCATTAACCCTGGTTCCCCCACATCGTTGGCTGGTGCCTTGCAGTGGTGCTGGGGCTGCTGTTGGCGTCCCCTGGCAGGGATGGGTGCTGGGTGTCCCAGGACCGGCACGCTCAGACGCCGGGGTATGGGGGGGTCCCAATGCTCTGGGGAGGGTCAGCACCCCCCTTTCTGCCTCCCCCTCTCTCGTCGTCAGCGGCTGCTAACCCCATCTTGGGGCGTGCAGGGTGGGAGAGGGTGTCTGTTGTCTTGTCCTTGTCCTTCACACCGTGGCAGCGGGGCCAGGGCTGCCTGTCACCCCCCTGTGTCCCCACTTGCCCCCTACCTCTCCCCCCTCCCCGGGTAGCCGGGGTGGCCCCACGGCCTGTCCCAGACCCCACTCTGAAGCTGGATGAGGTATCAAGCCGGCTCCCCATGCCCCGTCCCGGTGACACGGCGGTGGCCACGCCGTGCCCAGCCCTGGTCCCCTCCGGGCTCCGTGGCCGAGTTGGGGTCCTGCCGCTGGGGTCCTGATTGTGTTTCCCAGCTGCGTGTGCCTGCGTGTCTTCCACCACCCCCCCCACCCCCCCCCAACCTTATCCCCATTCCTCACCTTGGGGCTCTGCAGCGGGCGAGCGGTCCTGGGGACCCCCACGCACCATCGGAGCCCCCCCCCCCAGCCTCCCGGCACCTCCTGCAGCCGCCGGCACACAAACCCACTCGGTGTCGGCGTCCCTGCCGACCAGTCTGATGGCCCTGGCATGTCCCCATCCCGGTTTGGGGGGAACAGAGCAGCGTCCCCCCAGCTCTACCCACTGAGCCCCCTCCCCAACATGCCCCCACCCCCGGGGCCTGGCTAACCACCCCTCCTCTCTGCTCTGCTTTACAGGCTTGACCCGCAGCGGCTCCGCCAAACCGAAGGTAAGAGGGTCCTGGGCTGGGGGCTGGCAGGGAGGGGCGCGATGGCTGGGGCACGGAGCCTGTCCCTAACCCCGCCACCGCCATCCCCTAACCCCGGTGTCACCGTCTTGCCAGGGCACGTGGCCGTCGCGAAAGGCACCGCCGCACCGGGAGCTCCTCGCCATCCCCTTCGTCTCGGCCGCCGCCCGCAAGAGGAAGAAGAGGAGAGAGGCTGAGGGCGTCGGGAGCAGCACCGACGACGACGCGGAGCGCAGGGACACCCCGGGTCGGGAGCAGGAGGACGAGGGGACCACGGCTGCCCCACCGGGACCTGGGCAAACCCTCCGTGGCACCGGCACCGAGCCGGTGGCCACCAGCCCGGCCGGGATGGAGCGGGAGAGTTCCCTGGAGCCGGGGGGTGCCAGGTCCGAGCCGGCGCCGGACGCCCGCTCCATCGTGTCGGGCTACTCCACCCTGTCCACCATGGACCGCAGCCTGTGCTCTGAGGTGCAGTCGGTGGCCGGGAGCCGCGGGGAGGAGGCGGACGACGAGCGCAGCGAGCTCAGCCACATGGAGACGGACACGGAGAGCCGGGAGGGTGCCCGGCCCCGGCTGGGGCAAGCGGCCGGGGAGGCTGGGGACGAGGACAAGGGGCCCCTCGGCCGCCCCTCCTTCAACTCCCACCGCCTGATCCAGTGCGACACGCTGGCCCGCAGGAAGCTGGGGCGGCCCCGGCCGGCTGGCGAGACCCCGGCACCCCCGGGGGAGGACCAAGGTTGGGTTCCCCCCGGGCGGCCCTCGCTGCGGGAGCAGCTCCGGCAACGCCTGCGAGCTTCTGCCGACGACATGGGGGTCCGCCTGCGCCGAGCCCACTCCCCCGAGACCCGCCGCAAAAAGAGCAGCTGGCGCCGGCACACCGTGGTGGTACCCGGTGGCCTCAAGGACCTCAACTTCAACGAGTGGAAGGAGCCGCGGGGGCTGGAGATGTCCCCGGGGCCCTGCCGTGACAAGGACTCGGGGCTCAGCAGCTTGGAGTCCACCAAAGCTCGGCCCCCGGCCCCCACCCCGGCACAGCCCGGTGCTGCCGGCGAGGGGCCGAGCACCAAGAGCCCCCCGGGCAGCCCTGGCCCCCCGGCCCCCCTGCGCTTCCCCCAGTGTCTCTGACCTCCTGAGAGATGCACCCCCCCACACCCCGCGGCTCCCCCCGCCCCAGCCGGTGTTTAATTTAAGGACTCGCCTTCGTTCTTGTATTTAATTGTGCTCTGGACAAGCTGCTGTTATTTAATGAGTCGCCGTGGCCCCTGTGCCGCAGGTGGGACAAAGCCACCTTGTCCCCCTCGCTTTGGGGACCCGCAGTGGTCGCATACCCCAGCCTGACCCCATCCCGTGCCCCCCCCCAGCCCCCCCGGGCAGTGCCAGGAGGGTTTGGGGTTGGGGGGGTGGGGGGGTGGCCCCCGCTGTCCCCGGCCGCGGCGGTGCGAAGTGCGGGCGCTTCTTTGGGTGCTGCCGCTCAGGCTGCCCTCGCCGGGGCCCTTTCCCCGCGCCGGGGACCCTTGGGGATTTGGGTGCTGTCACCCCACCCTGGGCGTCCTCTGCGCCGCGGGCGGGGTCTGGGGGTCTACACCGGGGTGGGACGGACGGGGTCCCCACGGGCCAGGTGTTCGCGTGGGAGCGCAACAGGAGGGGGACCCCACGGAGGAGAGCGGGGAGGGGGGGCACACACCCACACCCACACCCTGCTGTGTCCCCTGCACCCCCACGAGCCACAGCCACCACTCGCCGGCGTGCTGCCCGGCACGGCCCGGCCCCCTCCCCAACCCCGCTCCCCTTCCTGCCCCCCCTCCCCAGGCCAGAAGCACTTTAGGAAGGGGGTGCAGTGCAGCCGCCCGGGGAGGCGGGGGGGGGACACACACGGGGACCCCCAGCCTCGCCGTGCAGGCACACACGTGCCACGGGCTCGGGTGGCCACTGCCAGGGCCACGGGAGGGGTGGGGGTGTCAAGTCACGTCACTGTTTCTCCGTGTCGTTCTCATACGTTATGCAAATATTTGCTGTAAAATTGGTTTTTTTCTTTTTTTTTTTTTTTTTCTTTTTGTGTAAATATTGTCTCTGACTGTGTAACATATTACAAAGGATTTATAAGGATTTTTTAAGAAGTTTTGCTCAGCTGAAAGGCCAGCCCCAACCAGGGGATGTGCTGGACCAGTGTTGACTTTTTAAACCCTCCTGCATGTGCCCCCCCCCCCCCCCCCCCCCCCCCTTTTCCCACCCCCCGAGCGTGTTGTACGAGCCGGCCGCGGAGCCGGCATATGCAAAACTGAAAAAAAAACAACAAAAAAAAAAAACCCAACCAACAAAACCAACCAGACCCCAACAAAAACCACCCCCGCTTCGGATGCCGCCCCTCCCCAGTCCCAGTCTATATATTGGAAATAAACTGGTTATTCAAGGAGGTGGTTTCCTGCTGTTATTGCTTCCCCTGCTCGGGGGGGTTCAGTATATGGACCCCCAACCCCCCCATATCCCTGTGCTGCAGGTCCTGGAGCGCCAGCAGCATCTGGAGAAGGATTTATCCTGGCTTTTCTATGAGGCTGGGGGGAAGGAGCTGGACCCGGCCATCCCGCCCCCCCAGCACCCACCAACCCATCCCCGGTGATGTGGGACTGGGGTGGTCTTGGGTCCCACCCCCCCACCACCACAACCGACACAACAAGAGACCAAACCTGGGGGGAAAAAAGTGCCAGAGAGGGGGAAAAAAAAAAAAGTAATTTTATTAAAGCCAGACACTCTGATAGAAAAGAAAAGTAATAAAGGGCAAAGGAAAATAAAAAGCAACCCTTTGTCATCGGAGTTTGCAAGTTACAATGGTCACGTTGCGCACAGAACTACCCATGGCATCCACAGCGACACAGGGACAGCGATGGGCACAGGGCGGGAGCGGCGGGGGGCCAGCCCCCCCCCCGGCCCCCGCCTCCGCCCTGTGCAAGGCCTTTTTTTTTTTTTTCTTTTCTTTTTTTTTTTTTTTTTTAATTTTTTTTTTTTTGCTTTAAAACAGTTCACAAGAAAATTCATGCTAAGAGACACACGACGTTGTAGAAACCCCAAAACAGCCTCTAAAGAGTATTAGGAATTTTTTTTCTTTTTTTTGTCCTTTTAAAAGTTGTAGCCTTTTTTAAACAACATCCAGACAAGTAAAGCAGGGTGCGCATGCAGCGGGCGCCTCCGACACATGCACGATGCAGGCAGCGCTTTTTGGGTTTGGTTTGTTTTTTTTTTTTTTTTGGATCATTTTTGCAACATTTTCCTTTTTTTTTTTTTGTCTTTTTTTTTTTTTTTTCTGGTTTAAACCAGAATTAATTTTTTTTTTGTTTTGTTTTGGTTTTTGTTTTTGTTTTGTTTTATTCCTGTCCTCTTGCTTCAGCGAAGGCACCGGGGTCGGTGCTCACGGATGGTTTTGCATGATGCCATGAAAGGACGGACGCACACCCACGCAGACACACGCTCACGGAGAAACCAGCCTGATGGGCGGAGGGGGGGGGGGGGGGGGGGGGAAGAAATGGGTGCAAGCCAGCACCGTGCACCCCCTCACCCAGCACTGTGCCCCCCCCCCCCCATCACCACCCTCCTGCTCTGGAGGCGGGGGGGGGTGGGGGGGGGGGGTGTCCCCACAGCGTGGCACCCACCAGCAATGCCTGAGGGGGGGCTTCCAGCACCCGTGCCAAAGCCGGGGTGCAGCAAAGTGAATGGAACACAGCCCCCCCCCCCCCCAAAAAACAGAGCTTGCTCCCAGCGGGATGGGTGCCCCAGCACACCCATGGGTGCCACCGGGGTGGGGCTGCACTAACTACAGCCCACCAACCCCTTTGCACCCGCGTGTCCGTGTCCCCAAGGGGGGGCGAGGGGGGGGGGCTGGTGGCACTTGTCACCCTCACACCCCCAGGACAGCAAGGTGGAGGGGGGGGGGGGGAGCTGTCTGCAGGTCCCCCTCCATGGGTGCTGGTGGGACAGAGGGTCCCAGGGATGGGTGCGGGTTGGGAGGGCTGGGGAGGACGGGGGGGGGGGGGGGTGTACAGGGCTGGGGGAGAGGGGGGACCCCCCCCCCCATCCCAGCTATTAGAAGCTGCGGCTTTGCTACAGTGTTTCACTTTGGTACCAAGAAAAAGAATGAAAACGGAACTAAAACGCATCAAGTGACTGCTATTGCTGCTGGGGGGGGGTGGGGGGGGTGGGGGTGCTGCAGCACCCCCGGGGCCGTCACCCATGGGAGTCAGTGTCCCCCGGGGGCACCCGGCCCCCTCCACCCCCGGCTCTGCGAGGGACGGGGACCGGGACGGGACGAGGAAGGTGCTGGACGGAGGATGCGAACGCAGCACAGGGGGGGGCTAACAAGCCGCGAGGAACCGACCCTCTCCAAATCACAAGGAGCTATAGTCTAACCAGGGAAGAAAATCCACCCCCTAATATACCAGACGTGAAGAGATTTATTTCTTTTCTTTTCTTTTTAAATATTTATATATATATATTTATATTACGTATATTATATATATATAATATGTAAATATATTTTTTAAAACAATATAAAATGTTAAGACACTTCACTTAAATGTAAAGAGTTGCTTTTTGCAATCCAAAGAAATTGCATCATGATTTTTTTTGTTGGTTTGGTTTTTTTTTTTTTTTTGTTTTTTTTTTTTCTCTTTGTTATTCAAAAAAGGCTCGTTCTTCTGTACAAAAATGATTGATATACAAAAAAGAGAGGGGGGGGAAAAGAAGAAGAAGAAAAAAAAAAAATTAATAATAATAATAATTAAAAAAAAAACCCAACCCAAGGACGAACTAGCCAACGAAAGGAGTGATTTGATCTCGTGTTGCACTGCGGCTGGGCTGCGCTCGCGGCAGCGTCGGGATCAGGCGCACGCAGCGCACACGCACACACGCACACCCTGCGCACCCCCGGCGGGGCGGCCACACACCCCGGGGGGACCCCCCACCCCCCCCCCAAATTCCCCCAGGCTGGGGCTGCTCCCCCGGGGGTCCCCATCGGGCATCTCTGCCAGAGCAGGGGACTCCGGGGACCTATCCTGCCTGCTTGTTCCCCAAGGGCGTTTGGTGCTCAGCAAGGGGACGGAGGTCCGGCAGCGTGTCCCCGTGCGGTCGGAGCACCCCCCCCCCCCCCCCCCCCCAAAAGCGTCACAGCACCCCTCTGCCCCGGTCACCGCGCCCACCCAGGTGCCCATTTAAAGTGCTACGTGCCGAGCCGAGGGCGACGGGCAGCCCGACTCGACCCATTTCTGCCCCCCCCCCCCCAACAATTTCACACCCCCCCCCCCCCCCCGAACCCCCCGCCACCATTTTACATCTTCAGCTTTCGGCCCCTCCGGCACACCCGGGCACCCCGCGGCATCGCTGCGGGCTGCCCCCTCCCCAGCGCTCGCACCGGCCCCTGTCCCCACAGAGAGCCGGGGCTGGCGGTTTGGGGGTGGCCGGTGGCAGCGACCCCCCCTCGGGCCGGCACCGAGCCCTCGGCCAGCGAAGGACACAGCCCGGCCACGGTGTCACCCGCCACCCCCCGCCGAGACCTGGCCGGAGCGCCGAGCATCCTCTCCTGGGTCGGCGTGGCGGCTGCCGGGATGCTCGGTGATGGCGGGGGGCGAGCGGTCGGGTCGGGGGGGGTCGGGGGGGTCTTCGGCAGCCGTTGTTTCCCACCTTTCCGCGGTGGGAGGGGTGCTGCCCGCGCGGGCAGCGGGGTCGGGCGCTGCCCGGCGTCCTCCTTGCTTGAAGCTGGTGAAACTGGTGGAGTGAAGCTCTGAGAGCTCTTAAATAATAAACAGAAAACGGCAGGGTGGGAAGGGGGGGGAGGGAGAAAAAAAAAAACAAACAAACAAACAAACAAAAAAAAAAAACAACAAAAAAAAACAACAGCAACCCAAACGAACCGAACCGAAAAGGAAAAAAGGAAAGAAAAAGGGAGGAGGAAGAGAGAGAGAAACAGAAAGTGGCTGGTTGGCCATTGCGGAGCGAGATGGGAGACAGAAGTCGGGCCGTGGCGGAGCGGAGGCGAGACACAAGTCGGGCCGTGGCGGAGCGGAGGCGAGACACGAGGTCGGCCACATTGGAGCAAGACATTGAAAAAAAGAAAAAAAAAATAAAGAAAAAAAAAAAAAAAGAAAAGAACAAAAAACAGACAGAGAGGGACGGGTGGCGATCCCTCCAGGTGCCTCAAGAAGATCAAGTCCTAGGGAGGAGGAGCCCAAGGAAGAGAGAAGCCCGGCCCCAGGAGCCGGAGAGCGGTTGGGTGGAGCTGGCAAGGATGCTCAGAATGAGATGGAGGAGTTCCTTGCCCCAAAGGAAGTCAATACGGGGATGGATGTTCTGCCAGATGCGGGTTTTTCTGAGACCGTGGGGGAAGTCTCACTAGCCTCTTTAGATGGTCTAGCGGCCTAGAAAGAAAAGCAAGATTCAAGGAGGAGGAGGAGGAGGAGAAAGGGGAGGAAAGTCAAACAGTTTCTTAAAAAAAAAAAAGACAGAAGAAAGGAAAAAACAAAAAAAAAAAAAAAAAAAAAAAGGGAACAAAACAAAACAAAACAAAACCAAACAAACAACCAAGAACCAAACAGGAGTTTGTTCAGAAGCAGCATTGAGTTAGGCCTGAGGTCAAGCAGCTGGAAAAGGTCCACCACAAACAGAGCACGAGATGAGCTGGTCCCACGCGTTACTGGATGGGAAGGGGACGTCCCCGAGAGGAGGAGAGAGACGAGAGCCAGACAGGCGGACAGACGGACACGTGGACAGACAGGCACACACAGAGGCGGGCAGGCGGAGGGGGAGAGGGGAGAAAGGCGGGGGGGGGACAAGAAGGGCAGTGTTAGACCGGGGGCTGCCGCGGAGGTGCCGTTCAGCCGAGCGGGGCAGAGCCTCGGCGGCCCCACGGCAGCCCCACGGCAGCCCCACGGCAGCCCCGGCTCCTCGGAGAGGTGACAGTGCCCCCCCACCCCACCCCGGTCCCCCCTGCGCCGTTGCGAGCACCACCAGCAGTGACATGGCCCAACCCTCCTCATGCCAAAGCTGAGCCAAAGGGAGCCGGGAAGGAAGGATGCTCATAAATCCTCCCGGAATGGGGAGAGGGCTCCTCCAGCACCCCCCGGTTCCCCCCGCTGCAGGGTGGGGGGGGGGGGGTTGCTGCTAGGCAGGGGCGGGGGGGGGTGGCCAAATCCTGCACAGGGAGGGGCCAGCAAGGACAAAAGTGCTGCGGCAAAGTCTACGGTCTGGCCACCCCAGTGAGGCACCGGTGGGTGCTGGGTGACCGACGCTGCCAACGGGGTGCCCCGGGGTGGGGGGCGAGGAGGAGCATGGTGCCGGGACCGTGCTGGTGTGTGGCCCCCAGGGAAGGGGACTCGGTGGCCTCCCTGGGGTGCCCGGGGCCAGAAGATGCTTCCCAGCCCTTGAGGGCTCCCAGCACAGCATTTCTCTGCTCTCCAGCACACGGGGCAGCTCGGGGTTGGGGGGGGGGGTGCAGAGGGAAAGCCCCCATCTCTCTCTGATGCTGCGGGGGTGTGAAAACCCACGTGCACCCACGGATGCCGGGCAGGGGGGCTGGCAGGGTGACCCTAATCTAGAGGATGGGGCCTGCCCGGGGACATCTTGACACTGCCACGGGACCAACTCGGTTGCAGTCCTGGCGATGGAGCCACTGAGGGGGGGACGGGGGGGGACACACACACACATGGGCTGAGCCCTTTTGCTGGAGCCAGAGGGGTGAGAGGTTCCCCTTTTGCTTGTGCGACATTTGCCCAAATTGCATTAAATCCGCACACACACCCCACTCCCCGCCCCCCCCCCCCCAAACCCAGCTCCAGGTAGCTGGGAAAAACCTTCGGTTTTCCCGACAGGGTTTATGGATCCAACAGAAGGAGCAAAAAATCAGGTTTATTGGGTGGTTTGTTAACGCCAGGCCCAGGGAAGGGGATTGAGACACAGAGCGGGGAGGGACAGGACGGGGGGAACCTGCTCGTGGTGCTGCTGCCCACCGCGGGGGCAGGAGGTGGGATGGGGGGCTGGGAAGGGGGGAGAGGGGGAGGCGAGGAGGGGTGGAGGGCAGCGAACTGGCTGTGGTTACCTTGCCTGTGGTCTGAGCGAGCTGGAGAGCCACCGCCAGCCCCGGGGTGTCAGCAAGAACAGGGGGGGAGTGAGCCCCACCACCCAAGGAGCGGTCCCGGAGGATGGGAGAAGGGTGGGTGCTGGTCTGGGGGTGGGGGGAGACACCATCCCATCCCCAAGCGCTCCTCTTCCAGCTGCTGTGCCCCCCACCCCTCTGCCCACACTGCTGGGCACCCCAGTACCATCGCCCTGCCTGTGACACCCCCCTCCCATGGCGAGCTGCTCCTAGGGATGGAGCGTTGAGGTGCACGGAGGGGTCCTGGCTCCCCAAAATGTCCCAGGAAGGGTTGGGGAGCCCCAGCCCCGGGGTAAGCAAAGCCCCTTGGAGCCCCCCATGCCGAGCACGCGGCTCTGCAGCACCCATCACCGCAGCCAGGACGGTCGGCAAGGTCACCTCGGGGTCCCTCAGGGCGAGGGGACCAAAGGTGGGGCTCAGCCCTGTCCCTCAGGAGCAGTGGTGGCACACAGGGCTGGGGGGCAGGTGACTCCCCCTGCAGCCTCGCAGCACGCTTGTCACGAGTTTGCCAACTCTCAGCACCGAGGCGTGCGGCCCCATCCCCAGCAGCCAGCTCTGGAAAACCGCCACGCCAGGCAGGGACGGGGGCGAGAGCCCCTCCTGCACACACACACACACACACACACACACACACACACACACCCCAGCCCCAACGGGGCTCAGCCCCGGCGAAGGGAGACACCGAGGGAGCCCAGTCCCGGAAAGCAGCACCCGCAAGATCTCCCCCCGCCCGCCACCCCCCAGCCTCACCCTGTACAAGGTACCGAGGGAGGTGCCGGGGCCACGGGCAGCCTGCGGCTCGCCCTGGTGCCGGGAGAGCCGGCCGGGATGGTGCTAGAGATAGACTACCTGCTGCTGGCCCTGGATCCGCATGTACTCCATCCGCTGCTTTATGTGCTTGCTTTTGTCGGGGCTGCCTTGCTGGCTCTGCTTCAGCCGGGACGCCGGGTTCACCACCTTCATGGCCGGGATGGAAACGCCACCGCTCTGTCGGGTCAGAGAATTTAGGGGAAAAGAGGTTAAAAGCGGCAGGTGAAAGGCCACAGCGGCATCGTTGGCAGCTGGGCACTGCCAGCGCTGGGTGTTGGATGCCTGGAGCTGTGCCGAGCCCCTGCCCGGACAGCCCACGGTGGCAAAGGCAGGCAAGGACGGGGACGCTGGCTCCCCGTGCCAAAGGAGCCCTCGCCGGGCAGCGCTTTGGCGATCTCAGAAACCAGCCAGGACTTACCGACAGCCACCGCTACAATGCAAAGAGGGAGTTAGGGGCAGACACGGCAAACACCGGGAGACCGAGGGCAGGAGGAGAGCATCCCCGCCGAGACAGGGGTGCACGGCCAAGAGAAAGGAAAAGAGGCGCCGGCAGGCAGAAGCAGATTCCAGGTGGAAACGGCGGCAGTGGGAATACAGAGGTTTTTATTAACTAGCTGTGCACAGACGGAGATAGGAAGACTTGCAAGAGCGGCAGCGAGGGAAGCGTCCCTGTACGCACGTGCCCTGGCGCTGCAGGTCCCTCAAGCGGTGCCCGGACGATGCCACACACCCCAGGCTCGCCCTGCGTCCCCCCCACTGCACCCCAGATCCTCTCCCTCCCATCACTGCTGCCTCCTGCCTACCCCGTGCCAGGCCTGGGCTGCAGGCAGCGAAAGTGGCAGCGCCGATGCTGCCCCAGAGCCGTGCGACGGCTGCCCAGCTCCACCTCCGACGGGAGAGGGCCAACAGCTCATCGCAGCGGGGCCAGGTTAAGAAATCGGTGCAGGCACAGCTCTCTGCGCTGCCCGCCCTGCTCTGCGAGCCTCAGCGGGCCCAAGGGTGGGACACGGGGACCCCTGTACCCCCCCAGCACAAGGAAATCCAGTTCCTGCCTGCACCGCACCTTCCCCAGAGCCCCAGTATCCCTGGCACAAGCAGGCGCTGGATCTCAGCCTTCGCAGCACCCCTGCAAGGTGGCACAAGACCTGCCGGCTCCCGCGCTGCTTTCGGGACCAACTAAGGCAGCTCCAGCGGTTCAGCCTCTCCTGCCGAAGCCTGGGCTGAGCTTTGCTCCGCGCCCGCCCGCCAGCCGCAGCCATAAATCCGTCCCGCGGCTCCGCTCCTCGTTTGCCAGGCCCCAGCAGTGCAGCAGGAGCTGGCAACGGGAGAAATTGCAGCTACACCCCACTTGACGGCCCATTCACCCAGCGAGAGCACCGCAACGGGGCCGCGGTGGCGCTGAGAACCGGGGCTGAGATAATTGCTGCAAATGAAAAAGGAGATTTATTCCCCAGCGCTGACTGTTAATAAAGGAGCAGGCTGATGTCGGAGCGGCTGAGGGTGTTTTCCCCCCTCTTTTCCCAGCTATTCAGCCAGCCGAGCGGCTGCTGTGGATTCCAGCAGAACCCAAATTGGATGGCTTCGGGGAGCCCGCGCTGTGATTTAATTAGGAGAAACAGCTGCCACACTCAAACTGCGGTTCATTAGAAAAATGCTTATGCAAAAGAAGGGACGCTGCTCCCTCCCCCCCGGTGCACCCAGCCCTCGCCGGCCCCGGGGGATGCTCAGCACCGGCCCCGGGGGATGCTCAGCACCAGCCCCAGCAGCGTGCTCAGCCCCAAAACTTGCCAGGGCCGAAGATATCAGATAGCCGGGGGTCTAATTCAGTGCTGTGCACAGCAAGGGCTGGGCACCGGGTGGCACCAGCACCAGTGAGGGACAGACGGCAGCACCGCCTGGCACCGCCTGCCTTTGCACTGCTGCCTGCAGTCTCGCTCCTGCTTGCCTGCGCTTCCCAAACCCGTTCAAGTGACAAGGAGAAAAGGAGATTTGTTTTCCACCTTGGCTCTGCCTGGAGGTAGAGTCACAGAGAGGGAGCAGGTAGAGGCGGAGGAAGAGAGACATCAGAGTGAGTCCGGGGCACAGCACAGCAAGGGGGATAACAGAAAATAAACCTGCGGTGTGTCGAGGGGGAGCTGCGGCTTGGGTAGCAGAGGTGGCCTGGTCTTGCTTGGAGGTGGACTCTCGGGAGCATCAACTCTGGCCTGACTGAGGTCCAGGGCAGTCCCATCATCACAGCTACTGTGTTTGAGGTCCCCCAGAGCTTCCTTGCTCTCCTCGCCGGCATCCTTGGATCCCACTTGTCCTAGCAGTTCTTTAGGGAATACAAATTCAACGGAGGGATGGCTGCTGATCTCACTGATGGTTATTTCCAGCTCACGGATAGTTTCCTCCAGGCTATCCAGTCTCTGGTACGTGCCTTCATAAATCTCCTTGCTGCGCGGAGTCATGGAGTGGTGAGGGGACAACTGCTCTTTGCAGAGCCCCCCCGCTGCCTTCCCCCCCACGCCGGCGTCCCCCCCGGCAGCCGGCGCCACGCCGCCCTGTCCCAGCGACGCTGCGCAATGGCACGGCCTCGAAAAAGCAGCGCCCTGGGGATGCTCAGCCTGGGACTGCCCGCTTCCCCACGGGGCTGGATCCTTCCCCGGGAAAGCTCTGGGATTTGGCACTGGGCAGGCTGGGGCTGGCGGGCTGTGCTCCCTCTGCGCTTGTTTGCAAGCCCCGGCGGAGTCTCCAGGAGAGAGCGATGCCTCCCACGCGCTCTGCCTGGCTCCAAATTGGGGGTCCCCATCACCGGGAAGCTGGGGGACGGCGCCGGGCCCTCTGTTGCCTGCACTGACAGAGAGGAGCAGCGGCGCTCCAGCTCCGGGACCTGTGGCTTCCCCCCAGGGACGAGGAGGTTGTGCAGCCAAGGGACCTTGGTGAGAAGCCTTGCTGCTGCCTTCTTGCCCACCGGCAGCGTTCAGAGCAGCATCCCCTCCTCTTCCCGCTGCGGGACAGCTCGGTTTATGCTTTGAGAGAGACGGGACCTTGCTGGCTGCTAGAGGGAACCTCCAGGTCTCTCCTGTTGCATGAGCACAGCCCCAAGATGGGTGGCTCGGGGGCTGCGGGGCTGAGGCTGGAGGGTACCCAGGTGCAGACAGAGACTTTTCCGAGATGCCAGGAGACACACAGCATTTCCTTTCCCCCTTGGGTGCAAGCTCCCCTCCTGCTCCTCCGCTGCCGGCCGGGTCCCCGTGCTCCGAGCAGCCCGTTTCCACCCACACCTCCGGTTCGGCTTCGGGGGACGGCGGTTCAGACACCCACTCGGTGAGAACAATCTGCGGGAGGGAGAAAGCCCTGCTCCCCGGGGCTGCCAGGGCCAGCGGCTCCTAGGTAGAGAATTCAGACAGATTAAGAGCCGGCGGAGAGCGGTGGGAGGAAGCAAGGAACTGCTGGGGAGCACCTACGTGTCTGCACACACTATTTGGGTCCCCTCCTGGCATGGTAGCGCTGCAGGGAGGTGTTCGGCCAGGGAAGGAGATGCTCGGCGCCCTCCTGCCCAGCCCTGCCATCCCACCAGTACCCACAGCCCGGCCAGAGACTGGTTTCCCACTGTACTTAAGGCAGCCTGGGTCTGAGAGAGTTTGGCAATAATTTGCCTGGAGATTTTAGCACAAATCAGCTGGTGTTGCTGCACCTCCTGAATTGCTTTTGGAAACCTCATCTCCACCATCCAGCTCGGTTTTCTCCCACGCTGGTGTAAACTGGCACGGCACTGGTGCAAGAGCAAAGCCAGGCTGTTTGGCCCTGCAAACAAGCAGCCAAGGGGCACCAGACCTTTAAAACCCTGAGCAGCAAGAAGTCACCTAGAAAACGCTGCCCTGCCTCCCCCGCCTCTCTGCTCCTGTCCCGAGGGAGATGCATCAAGCCGTGCAGTGCCCGTGGCACCAGAGCCGGCCCTGCCCTCCGCGGAGGCGAGGGAAGGCGAGCTGGAGATGCTCTGGTAGAAGAGGTGCCCCCCCCCCCCCCGTGCAGTTGTAGCCGTGGGGCCTCTGCCCTGGCCTGGCCAGGGGGGGCTGCCAGCTCTGCAGGGGCACCGGCCCCGTGGCCTCGCGGCAGAGCGGGGCAAGGAGCGGTGACACCCCGCTGCTGGGTGACCCAGCATGGGCAGCGGGGGATGCGTGCCCTGGGCTCGGTGCATCTCACTCATGTCCCAGCCCTGGCGGTGGGGGGGGGGGGGGATGTGTCTGAGTTAGCACCCGGGGCAGAGAGGGAAGGAGACCCGAGTGCTGGGATGGGCTCGGAGCTCTGGGTCAGGCGCTGGACCCATCCGAGCTCCGGGAGAGGGGGCCCTGCTCACGGAGGACAGGAGATGCTGCTCCGGGGCAGCCGCGGTCGATTCAGCCCCGGCACTGGGACTCCCAGGGGAGAGGAGGGACCCAGCGGGACCCCTGCAACATACCCAGACCCCCACCAGCAGCTGAGCTGCCCTCGATGAGGCCCAGCTCCCCTCACTAGAGGCTTTCTGGCGAGGGGCTCAGCAGCACCCTCTGTCCTGCTCTTTACCCCCTTTGTTCCCCAACCCTGGGCACCCCCTGCTCCATCCCATCCACTCTCCAGGCACCTTCCTTTCCTCCCGCTCTCCCCACCCCAGAGCCCAGGGCAGGATGGAGGGCGGGAGGGCTGGGAGGGAGCCGGACTGCGCCTACTCAGCAGCCAGGAGGGGTGATGGAGCCAAGCCCGAGCGGGTCCCAGCAGCCACCGGCCTCCGGGTCCAGCCCTCCACCTTCTGCCCACACCATGCGCACGGAGCGGGGGGTCTCAACATGCATCACCCGCCACGGCCCCCCTTCCAGTGACACCCTCCCCGGGCACCCAGTGAGGGGTGAGAGCAGCGAACCCTCCCCATGCCCTGCCCGGTGTGGTGCTGGGGTGGCCCCGTCCTTCCTCCCCCTCCGCGTGGCCGCAGGATCAGGCCCTCGCGGGAGCTGCAGCTGCAGCCCCGTGCTGTGGTCGCATGGGTTAGTGCTCGGTCCTGTGCCATGTCAGTGCCGTACACGCAGTGGCGGTGAGCGAGGGAGAGGAGAGAAGCCATTAGTTTGTTAAATCAGAGAAAGAAGCAGAAGTGAGTTAAAAAGAGGCGGGAGAGGAGGTGGTTAAAGTGCAGCCCGTCGGCAGGAGAAGGGATCGTCGCTCGGAGCGAGCTGTTACCTTCCATCCTTCGGCTGCCACGGAGGCTCCGTTGGGCCACAAGTCTGCGTGCCCAGGGGAGACGGCAGCCGCGAGCGGGTCGTAACGGAGCTTGGGAAGGAAAGGGGAGGCAGAGCTTCTCTGAAACACCTGGGGAGTCAAACACGGGGCGGGTTGGAGGAGGGAGGCTTGGGGGTAACGACGACGCAGCCCATGCCTGTGGGGATGCTTGTCAGGGTCACGCCAGGACCGGGGCTCGGCAGCGAGTGAAACGTCAGCTGTTCTCAGCAGCCACAGAGGCAGCCCCGTCCCCTGGTGCTGGCAGCGTCGCTGGACCCCCCCCTCCCGTTTCCTGGGGGTAAACCAGCCAAGGAAAAACCATCCACTACCCGCTTGGGCACCTCGACCATAGCAAACAGGGGGAGGACGTGGGGCACAGCCAGCCTGGGGGAGCTCAGAGCCTGCGGACGGTGTCTCGGGTCGGCTCTCTGCCCTGTGCACAAAACCCAATGAACCTCCAGCTGAAGCTGCGTAGCGTTAAAAAAAAAAAAACAAAACAAAACAAAACCAAAACAAAAAAACAAATGAGTTTGGTTTAAAGCCCAAGATGGGGCGGAAGGGCTGAAGAGAGACGGTGAACCAGGCACGCAGCCCCTGGACCCAGCGAGGGGTCTGGCAGGGTGCACCCGCTCCGTGCTGCCCATCCCCGGGGCACCACGCTCCTGCTGGGAGGGGGGAAGCCCGGTGCTGTGCCGATGCTCGGGGTGTCGTTCCCCGGAGCCCCTCCCAAGGTGTTTCCCGCAGGTGCCCGGAGCTGGGCGCAGCCACGCGTGAGCAGCCAGGGCAGGGTGGGCATCGCCCCCGGTGCGGGTAAGCTGGGGCACCCCGCGGCCCCTCCCGCGCTCACCTCCAGCTCCGCAATGATGCGGTCCTCGTCGTCGTCGTCTTTGATGGCAGAGGCGATGATGGGAGGGGTGGACGCCGGCCTGACCACCTCCGACACCGTCCGTCTCAGCTTCACCTGGGGCTTCTGGGTCTCCAGCTCCTCCGACTCGGCCTTCTGCAAGGAGGGGGGGGGCAGGGCGGTGAGGGGCTGGGGGGCACCGGGAGCCAGGGCTGGTCTTGCTGACAGTGACCTGCTCGCTCCAGCTCAGCGGCCGCGCCGTGCTCCCGTTCCTCACCTTCATAAAACTGGGCTCCTTCTTGCTGGTGACGATGACTTCCCCGCTGCGGGTTGTGGTCAGCCCGTGGGACGAGGGGAAGCTCCGGCGCGGAGGGGGAGGTGGCGGCGATTTGGAAGGTTTCTCGGTCCGGTACCGCGGCACCGTCAGTTCGTCTGGGCACAAACGATGCTGTGAGGGCACGAGACCTTTCCCTGCCCCTCTAATACAACACCCCGGGCTCTCCCGCTGCCTCCCCGGTCATAAACCTCCCTCAGGGCAGCACCGCTCAGCCCGGGGAGAACCCCCCCCCCCAGATCAGGCACCCCCAGCCCCGGAGGCGGACCCCACGCCGTACCTGAGCCCCTGCGGCCGTTGGGGTCCCCTTTGCCCCCCGATTTGGGTGCGTGCTGTGGCTTGGAGGGTTTGTGCTCGGGCGTGGAGGCAGCGCTGCCGCTGCCCGGGGCTTGTTTGTGCTTGGCGGCGAACTCCAGGTCGGGGATGGCCTTCATCAGCTCGGCTTGCGTCTCCTCCAGGAGCCGGTTGATGTCCTTGGCACTGTACTGGGTCAGCGCTGCCCGTTTCTCCTCCCAGTCCCGCTCGGCAGCCTGCGGACGGCAGGCAGAGCCCGCTGCAGCCCCCCACAGCGCCTTCTTTGCAGGCAGGATGTGACCCACAGCCCTGCTGCCACCCCACCCCACCCCTCCAATAACCTGCTGCCCCCGTCCCCAACCTGCACGCTTTTTAGGGGTGCTCCCACGGCTGCACCACCTGCGCCTCGCCACCCTCCACCCACCCCGTTGATACGAACCCAGCAAGGAGGAGGATGAACCCAGTTCCTGTCCCCAGTTTCGGCCGGGAGGTGTAAGGAAAGACCCTCTAGAAGAGCCCCCCCAGCTGAGGAACCCACCCTGGGCTCTCACCTCCACGGATACGGCTTTGTCTGCGCTCTTCTTGCTGGGGGTCTCCGGGCCCGTCTGGGTCTTGGCAGGAACCATCTCCGGAGCTCGGGAAGGGTTATTGCTCTTGGAGGGGTGGGTCTGGGTTTGGGGGGGGCTGTGCCCAAAGCTGGGCATGCCCAAGGTCTCGGTGACAGCCGCCAGGTGGTGGAGGTTCACTGGGGGGCTGCTGGGCCCCTCCAAATCCAGCCCTTTGCTGAAGTCTGTCTCCTTCTTGGGGGACTGGCTGAGGTTGCTGGGGGAGGTCCAGACGCCCTCGTCCACTTGCCTGCCAAGGACAGAGCGAAGGCACGGGGTATGGGGGGGGGGGGGAGGGGGTTACTGCACCCTCTCTGAGCCACGCCACAAAAAAACTTGCTCTCCTGCAACTCTGAGTTACACAGCTGAAGGTTTGGGTTCTCTGATGTCTAGGAAGGGCTTGGAATTGATGCTACAGCCTCTCTGGGGGAAGCACAGGAATGAGCTCCTCTAGCTGGCTGTCCATTTTCATGAACCTTGTAGGAAACCGGATCTCTCCGAATCCTGCCCCTCTGTCAGATCTGGTTGAAATTGCTCTTTGGATTCAGGAGTTATTAGGGCCGGGGAGTGACGGGTAGGCAGATTCAGACACTGCGTGATCATACAAGCTCATTTCTGTAGAAAACCAGGCTAGCAATGAGCCTGAGGCGAGGCCGGTGCCGGAGCCCTCCTGTGAGCCATCCCGAAAGGTCTCTTAATGGGAAGAGGCAGGTGGGGGCTCAGCCACGGTGCACGGCCCAGCCTGATGCTATCGGTAGATCTGGAAGATGATTTTTCTCCAGCTGAGCATTTTTCTGCTCCTCAGGAAAGAGATTTCTGACCGCGCTAAGGGCTGCCTTTCCATCTGGATATAGGGCCACGCTTTTTTGAAGGTGATAAGGAAAAGTCAGTTTAGAAAGAGGGGTTCCCACATACCCTCTGGAAAGGACGGAGGGCATTTTTTAATTCCTTAGCAGAAAAATGAGCCTTTTCTCAACACGCCCTGGGATTTGCATCTGTGGTGCAGAGAGGACGCTGGCACGCGCACGAGGGGGCACAGGGACAACCGAAGGGACCGGCTGTGTCCTCTGAGGTGCTCAAGGGCTTGGGGCTTGGTGCTCACCTGCGGATCTGGGCGAGGGTGTCCGTCACCGTCTTGCAGCGCTTGAGCAAACCATCGAGGCGATTCGGCTCCTCCTTGAGGAACTTGACAGCTTCCACCTCCACCCGCAGCACCACCCGCATCTTGCTCTGCAGGCTGGGGAACTGGGCTGGGGTGGGAGAGTGGGGGGGTCACCAGGGCCCCCTCGTCATGTCGGGGAGCTCCTCCCAGTGCCCAGCTGGCAGTGCCCACCAAACCCACCACGGCCATCCTACCCATGGCAAGGGCACCCCGCCACACGGAGTGGGATGAATCCCAGGGAACCTGGGCTGGTGTCTCTCCCACTCCCCGTGCCCCACCATCTCTTCCCCGTCCGCCTGCAGGAAATCGATTTTAGCCCCCGAGGGTGTCCCCTCCACATCCATGGGCACCAACGCTGCTCTGGAGCTGGGGGGTTGGCACCCAGAACCCTGAGGACGCGGTGGCAGGGGCTGACACGGAGCAGGTTGCTCCTGGCTCCCTGCCCCGTGCTCTGCTCGCCATCTCAGCTGCTGAGCATCAGCCCAATTTTAGGGAAAAGCTGCAGGAAAGCAGAGCTGCCCTTACCCCTGCTCGATGCATCCCAGCCACCCCCCCGCCATGCTCCCTTATTCTTGCAACCTCAGCGGCTGCCACCAAATCATCATTTATGGTCTGCCTTGGCTCCGGCAGGCAGGAGCTCTGCCACTTCCAACCGAGGTGCCGGGCGTCTGCTTGTGAAAGGCAGGATGGGGTCAGCCCGGGGACGGGAGGCTGCAGGAGCAGCAAAATCAAGGGCAGCGTGCACGGGGGTGGGCAAGTGCAAGATCCTGCGGGACAGGGTCAGGGAAAAGCTAGGAGCAACCCCGAGCTGTCGGGGGGACTCGGGGGAACAGCTAGCAGGGGAACTAGGAGCAAGCAGCAAGAGAGTGGGGTGCAGCCCTCACCCCTGCAGCAGCCCAAAGCCTGCAGGAGCCTCCCCCCAACGCTGGCTGGCACCGGGGGGGGGGGGGGAACCTGCCCTGGGGCTGCAGGTAAACACACAGGCAACTGCAAACGCGCAAACCCAAAGCAAACGGGCAGCCTGGAGCACCCGGTGCGTGAGGGTGGAGCAGGGAGATGCGGGCAGGCTCCCGCTTGCCACCCAGCCCCGGCCATGGCCACCTCCTCACCCTTGAGGTCCGTCAGCGTCTCCCCCAGCTGCTTGAGCACCACTGCCTTCTCCTCCAGCTCCTGCACGGGGATGAGCCGGTGGTTGTGGGCCAAATCCTTCTGGATCTTCTCCACCGACTTCTCCAGGTCACTGTGAGCACAGAGGCAGGGGCAGGGTTGTCACTGCTGCTCCGGGGTGCCGGAGAACCCCAGGGGTGGCCAGCCCGGCAGGTCCCCACACAGCAGCAGGGCTGGCGACCCCTCCTCACACTAGACACGCGGTCAAGGACGTGGCCTGGCACCGTGCAAAGCTGCTTTACACCCATGGAGGATGTGGCCCATCGAGGTCAGCACACCGGGGGACCCCCCCCCCCCCCCCCAAACCATTTGCATGCTCAAGCCTTGCCGCCAGCCCCCCCCCCCCCCGAGCTCACTTGAGCTGCTGGGTGATCAGCTCCTCCTCATTGAGGTAGCGGAGCCGCTCCTCCTCCACCAAGCTCCGCTGGCGCTGCAGGGGATCCTCGTGCTTGCGCACGGTGTCCGTCACCCGCACACTGATCTCCGTCTCTGTCCGCCGCAGCATCGTCTTCACCGTCTCTTGGTTCTGCAGCTGGGAGGAGGAGGAAGAACGGGGGGGGGGGGGGGGGGCATTCAGGCTGGGCAAGATCTCCCCCCCCCACGACGAGGACCGGCATGCGGCCAGCTCTGCGCTCGGCGTGGAGAGGGATCCCCTCGCTCTCCCGCACCCAAACCCCACGCGAGGTCACCGAGAAAAGGGGATTTTCCTACTCTGCGGCTGGACCCACCCCAGTAAGAGCTGGGATTTCCCACCCCCCCCCCCCCCCAGCCCCAGTACCTACCTGCAGCTTCTTGAGCTGCTGCAGCTGGTTGCGGAGGTCGCTGGCGTTCTGCTGCAGGTCGTGGAGGTGCAGCTGCATGTGCAAGCGGGTGATGGCAGTGGGCTGCCCCGCCGGCGTGCTGGTGGCGGAGGGCGGCGGGGGCGCGGGCACCGGTGTCCCCATGCCACTGCGGCTGGTCGCTGCGGGGAGGGCAGAGGCTGCTGAGGGAAGATACCCCCCCCACCCCGGGGAAAGGTTGCAGACTCCGCTCCTCTGCTTTCCCGGGAAAGACCTCCCTGTCCCCACCCCGTGCTTCGGTCCTGCAGTTCTGGGGGGTCTCCAAAACGACCCCATCTGCGCCTCCCCCCCCCCCCCCCGCTGCTGGTTCCACAGAGAGGCCACCCCAGATCTGGCCCTTAGTGGGATTTGGGGGGGGGGGGGGGGGTCCCGCTGGTTGCCAGCACACAGTGGGGGCTTCAGAGCCCCTGCTCCTGTGCCCACCCCACTCCCAGTAGCCGTGGGGTGGAGGGAGGGGGTGCTGCAGGGTGACGGGCTGGATCTCCAGTCACTTACACGCTGATGGGGGGGTCCCGCCGTTGGTGGCTTCTGTCTTCTCGCTGCAATGAAAGACGGGAGGGAAGCAAGAGTGGACCGGGCACCTCCACCCTCACCGGCTCTGGGGGGCCACAGGGGCCCAGCGGGGGGTTGGCATCCCCCGGGAGGGGGACAGGAACCCCCCCCTTTGCCCCCCCCAGCCTCGGCAGCAAACAGCCCAGCTGAAGGAAAGCATCCCGCTCCCCGCAGCAGACCCACACCTGCCCTCCCGCTCCTTACCTGGGGGTCTCGGCCTCGGAGCCGCGGAGCAGGGCACTCTGCACCAGCCCCGTCAGGCTGGCGATCTGCTTCTCCATCGCCTCCATCCGCTCCCTGCCGCGGGGAAAGGAGAGGGGCCGGGTGAGGAGCTGGCTCTGGCACCTCAGCCACCCTCAGCCACCCACCCACCGGGTCCCTGCAAGTCCCCGGAGGGACATCGGGGAGGCGGCAGCGCTGCCGTCACCGGCTACATCCACCCCCTTCATTCCCTCTCTCCTCTTGCCTCCCGCCACCCCCGATCGCTCCCCTCAGCCCAGCCCAATTTGCTGCTTTACCACCCATCTCAACACCTCTGCCGCGGTGGCGATGGGGCAAAGCCTTCCTCCGCTCTTCCTCTACCTCCCCAGCTGCGCTGATGGACGACCACCAGAGCAGCCAAGCTCGTATCCGCTGGGGGTGTGTGTGTGTGTGTGTGTGTTTCTCCCACGCCCCTTCTCACCTTGTTTCTGTGTCTTTGGCCGGTCCAGGGGAGCCGAACCCCGAGAGCGGGCGATCGCTGGGACCGGGAAACAGCTCCGGAGGGCCAGAGGAGCTGGGGTTGCGTGGCTTGTTGACGGGGCTTTCCATGAAGACGGAGGAGCAGGAGTCCTTGCGGAAGGACTGACGGACGGGCGAGGAGCGGCTGGGGGGTCCCGAGTAAGGGCTGTGGGGGCTTTGCCCTGGCTGCACATCCACCAGCCGGCCATCAGCCATCTTCTGTGGGGAGGAGGGGGGCATGCGGAAACCCAAGCCGGGTCCGTAGGTGTCGCTGTAAATGGGCGCGTTGGGCTTGTACAGGCTGTCCTCCAGCTCCGTCTGCAAGGCGGCCGCCGAGTAGGTGCTGAGAGAGCGAACGGAGCCCCGCTTGTACAGCCCCCCCGAGTAGCCAAAAGGGTCTCCCATGCCAGCCAGGGACTGGGTGGAGGTGATGCTGAGCCGGCCCTCGTGCACCATGCCGTAGGGATCGGCGTAGAGCCCCTCGTTCTTCACCAGCACCACGTTCTTCCCGGCCAGGTCCTCATCCGGCTTCACGTCCCGGCGCTCCAGGATGGCGCTGGGGCTGGGCGAGACGCCCTGGGCGGGCGGCAGGTTGGAGAGACGTTCGCCGTGGTGGACGGGGCTGCCGGCGTAGGAGGGCGGGCGGCCCCCGCTGTAGGACATGCGGGAACGGGACGGGGAGGACGACTGGAGCACCGGCGGAGGGGAGCCGGAGGTGAGGTGGGAAGCCGGGGATATGTTGTTCAGCCGGCGGGTAGGAGAAGATTCCCTGGAGGTGTACACCATCTCCCGCTGGGGAAAGGAGCAGGGAGGCGGAGGGGGGGGTCAGCACCACGTCCCTGGGGGCCAGCCCCCCCCCCCCCCCCCTTCTCTGGCTGGCTGGGACCTTGCTGAGCTGCACCCCAACAAGGACCGAGAGCTGCAGCTCCTGCAGCTTCACCTGGCCTTGGCCAAACGGCAGCTCCCTCGTTCCCATCCAGGAGCGGGATGATTTATTCTGATGAATCCCCTAATTATCATGTTTATTACCCTGCTGTCAGGCCCCAAACATCCATTCTCTTAAAGTAACACTTAACAATGCTGGAACCGGGCAAGATGAATCGCAGTCATTACTCCTTCCACAAACACATGCAATTACCAGTCCCTGTCTCCATCACTTTCTCTCTTTACTGGTTCCAGCCCCCCGGGTGCACCCACACCACAGGCTCTCCCCGGGACACCCCGTCCCCCCTTACCCTCAGGTCACCGTTGGTGATGTGTGAGGCTGGGAATGAGGCGTAGAGAGGCTCTTTCCGGTAGATTTTAATGATACTTCTGTCCTGGATATCGCTGAAAGGAGAGGCAGAGCCGTGAGCATCCCGGGCAGGCAGCTCCCGAGCCCCCAGAAAGTCCCGGTCACAGAACTGCACCCACGCCCACCCTTCTGCTTTCATCCCACTGATTTCCTCGCTCGTGATGCTCTTAAAGAAAGAGGGGGAAAAAAAAAAAAAAAAAAAAAATCAATCTGTGGTGGATTTCTGAGCCTGCCCCTCACCGGACATCCTCCAGCTCGTAGAAGACATTGCGCGACTCGTCCTTGATGAGGATGGCAGTGTTGGGAGACTTCAGCATCCCCATGGTGAGCTTCTGAGGGAACATGTGGACAATGAGGGCGTGCAGGGTGTCCATGCTGCTGATCTCGTGGGTGATGTGGACGCGCCTCGTCTCATCCCCAAACTGCAGGAAGAGGACCCCTGGAAGCAGAGGGAGGGGAAAGCGGTGAGGTGTGCCCACCCCCCCTTCCCCGCACCACGCCGAGGCCGAGAGGTGCAGGTCTGCCCGCCTGCTTGGAGGTCTCTGTGTGCGCCCAACCGAGGGCTCGGGGACCTCTGGCCACCCTGGAGGAGCGAGGCTGAAGGCAGCTCATCCCCCTCGGCCACCCTGCACGGCATGTAGTGCCCCCCACCCTGCTCCTCCCCGGGGGTATTCGGGCAGGTAGACGCCAATCCCCCCACCCGGCACACACCGGCAGCTGCCCGCAGAGGTGGGCAGAGATGTTTGGCGGTGGCCAGGCGGGTACGTGCCGCCCGGCCGGGGGGAGGCAGAGCCCTGGGGGGTACCTGGCGATCGCAGCTTGGTCTGGCTGGTGGAACGGGACAAGGGCAAGCTCTGCCGGAACCGGTTCATCCTATTAAAGCCCAGGGGCAGCTCCGCTTCCGACATGGTTTCCAAGGATTCGGCCGAGGCGAAGGAGAGTTTGGCTTGGTCGGCCAAGCCAGGCTGGGAGCCCTGGGAGTGTCGGGAGCTCCTTGTCTGGAAGGGGAGAGGGGAGAGGGGAGCGGAGAGCCGAGCTGGGCACCCCAACCCCGTCCGCTCCCCTGGACGCAGCGCTGTGCTGCTCCCGCCTTTCCTCCAGAGAGGCTGAGCCGCTTCCGAGGATGCTCAATCCCTGATCCCCAGCTGAGTCAGCACACCGACATGGTCCAGACACGGTGCCAGCTCGAGGCCTCCTCCGGTCTCCTGCTCTAAGCGTGTACAACCATTTACAGTCCCCTTGCTCGCTCACGTTTTCCGCTTCAGGCTGGCAGCACGCCGCGTTTCAAAGCCTCCCGGTGCCGTTCCAGGCGCCTTTGAGCTCCCCCACCAGCAACCCACTCGAAATAAAACCGGCGCTAGCAAGCTGGTGACAGAGCCAGGGCTCACATGCAAGCACTGGAATAACCTTAGCAATTACAGGAGGTTACACATCCATTACACCAATGAACCAGCTCCCGGGAAACATAAATGCCCGGTTTATTCTGGAAGCAAAGCAGCGGCAAGGTTTATGGCTGCCTGAGCCGGGGGAAAGTAATGGCTTTGGGTTTATAGCAGTAAAAATTTAATATGCTAGGAGTCCAATTCCACATGGCCAAGCGTATATCCACAGCACGAAAGTTCAGGCTACAGACATGGGCTTTCTGCACAAACATCTCCAAACATGCCACCGGGTCCCCTTGGAACATGTACCCGCCCGGCAGCGGAGCGAGCGCTGCCTGTCAGCGCCCCGAAATACAAGGCTCGATTTTCCAGACACATGTTTAACGTTGGCAAATCAAACAGAGAGAACAAACAGCTCCTGGGGTGTGGAAAAGGCGGCATGGAAGGGACAACAGCTCTATTTTAAGACCAAAAAGAAAAATCAATATGAAATTATAACAGCCATCATCATCATTTAAATTAGACATTAATTGGAAGATTTAATTAATCCTGTGGGGTGGGGGTTTTCTGGGACTTGAAATGTTCTCGCCGTAGCTAATTGCTGGAAAATTGACTGCTTAGTTTTGTTGTTGTTTTAGCACAAAGCAGGCTGGCAGCGCAGATGCTGAAACTCCTACATCAGGAAAGGGAAGCGGGGCTGGACCGAGCGTGGGCCAGAGCACCCACCAGCCCCGTCCCCGGGGGGCCGGGGGGGCTTGGCAGCGGGTAAGGGAGCTGCAGGGAGCAGGAGGTGGCGGAGAGACCCTGTCTCCTCTCCCCCATGGTCATGGCGTGCAGGTTTTTGGCACGTAGCAGATGGGTTTTGGGGCTCCCCACCCTTGCAAAGCCCCGGGAAACTTTGAGGGCTGGTGGTCTCCCACCTCTGGCTGTCTCGCTCCGGGTGAGGGGTGCTGCCCACCCCCAGGTCTCAACCCAGGGGGGGTCTCATGCTGCCAGGGCAGCACCTGAGCCTGGCTTTGCCCCCCCCCCCCCCGGCAGCCCTTTCCCCTGCCCCGTCTCCATCCATCCCTCCCCGCTCCCCCCCCACCCAAACACCCCCCAGCCAGAGCCCTGGACCTTAACAGCCCTCGAGCTGTCACGGGAGATGACAAAGGGCCGTTGGCTCACACACATCCCGCCCCCCAAGGATGTTTTTTTTTTTTTGTCTGGAGAAAATAATTGTAAGAAAAAATTGATTTAGTCGAGGGAGGGGGGGAAATTGCTGCCTCCCCCTCCCCACGGCACAACAGGACGGCTCAGACGCTGTTGCCATGTGGCATCCTTGTTGCTAAGGGCTGTTGCGGCATGTGTGCCTCGGCACAACACCCCGATACACCGTGGTCCCTACAGCCCCTACAGCACAACACCCCAACGCCCCATAGACCCCACAGCCCCTATAGCACAACACCCCAACGCCCCATAGACCCCACAGCACAACACCCCAACGCCCCATAGACCCCACAGCCCCTATAGCACAACACCCCAACACCCTATAGACCCCACAGCCCCTATAGCACAACACCCCAACGCCCCATAGACCCCACAGCCCCTATAGCACAACACCCCAACATCCTATAGACCCCATAGCCCCTATAGCACAACACCCCAATGCCCTATAGACCCCACAGCCCCTATAGCACAACACCCCAATGCCCTATAGACCCTATAGCACAACACCCCAACACACCACGGTCCCTACAGCCCACGGGACAGGGGTCAGAATGGGGCAGTGGGGAGAGCTGGCAGCTCCAGGTGAGCCCAGACCCCTTCTGCCTCCTCTGCCCCAAGGTTGCAGCTGACCTCAAGTAATTAAGCTCATCTGATGGAGCTAATTATGGCAACAGCCAAAAAAAAAAAAAAAAAAAAAGCAAGCAAAGTGCAAGATGGAAATGAATGGATTTTTAGCCTGGAAGGGACTGTTCTGGCCTGATGCTCAGCACAACGTGCTCAGGGAACAGCTCTCCCCCCGCCCTTTGCAGGGACCCAGCGGCCCCCCCAAAATCCTCGCTGGCACCAAGACGAGAGCCACGCACCCCTGTCCCCGTCCCCCCTCGCTGGGCACGGGCCCCTCCGCTGCTGGGCAGCGGGCACCTGCATAGCCCAGGCCAGCGCAGGATAGCGGTGAGCTGGAACGGCTTGGGGGGGGGATGGACACAGACACCAAGTGCTATTTGGGACGGGGGGGGGGGGGTCTCTCCCATTTCTTGCCTGCAGCCATTTCGGGGGGTGCAGCCACGGGACTGGGGTGCCCACGGAGCTGTGCAGCCACAGCGAGGAGCCGAGACGTCCCCGGCGCGGCGGGAGCGCGGCGGCTGCTCCGTCCTTGGCCGCCAGCGGACCGTTAATGAGCTGACGCCGAGGGGATTGGTTTTTATTGCTCTGGCTTGTTAATGACTTCTCCTGCTTCAAGATAAGACGTTAACTGACAACTCAGCCCCCCCCCCCCCCATCCTGCCTCCCACCCCTGCCGCCCCCGGGAGCCGCCCCGGGATGGCTCCGGGTCCCCCCTCCCAGTCCCATTCCTGGCACTGGAAGCCCTCCCAGGACCTGATCACAGCCACTGAGGCTGTGGCTCACCCCGAGCCTGTCGGGACCCGACACTTTCATGCAGCTTCACCCATCACCACGGAGTCTAAAATGGGTGCCCAGATCCCATCTTCACTGGAGATGCTTTGGGGGGGGGGGCTCAATCCTGCCTTGCTGGGTGCCACCCCGGGATGAACAGTGCCTGGACCCGTCTGTGCCGGTGTCTACCCTGACAGGATGGATGTTCCCTGCTGTCACGGGGGAACGTGTCACCCTGCCGAGTTTCCCAGCTGGAGAAGGGGGAGATGTGGGGCTGCGGGTGCTGGCCTGGTCCTGGGGGCACGCAAGGCTCCGGGGCCCCTGCTCGGGGTGCGTGGGCTGAGCTTTTTAACCCCGATGCAGCAGGAAAATAAACATCAAACCTTCGCCACCGTCTCCAGAAGGGACAGGGTATTTATTCTCTGCCTGGCCCAGCTGCTATCACACCCTGAGCCGAGGAGGAGATATCAAAGGCTGCAACACTCAGGTACCGAGCACACAACAACGACCGTCATCTCCTCCTGCTTCCCGAGCACTTTCCATCCCCAAGGCCTGGCCTTCCTGCCCGCAGGCTGCGTATCAAAACCCCAGGGCCAGATCCCAGGGAGGCTCGATGCTCGCCCCCCACGCACCCCCCCCCCCTCCCAGGGCATCGCTCTGTACCCCGCCGGCTGCGGCCACGCAGGATCCCACCCCACGCAGCTCCCAGCTGGGGAAGGCTCTGGGAGGGTGGGATAAATCCCAACTGCTGCAGCAGCACTTTGCAGGGAGGTGACCAAAACCCACCCAGCCTGGGAGCAAAAGCATTTTTTTTTGCCCCGTTTCTCAGTTATGCCCCCTCAGGGACAGTTTTGCCCAAGCCCAGACCCCCCCCACACAAAGGGCTCGGTCTCCTGTAGCTTCAGAAAAGCCCAACATCCCCCGTGGGCACCGAGATCTTTCCCTGTGGTATCTGAAACCCCCACCCAGCAACAGCAGCGAGGGGCTGGAGGGGAGGGGGACGCAGCTCTCCTTGCTGTCCCCGTGCCGCAGCGGTGCCACGCTGGGAGATGACCCATTTCTCGCCAAACCAGCGTCACAGCACAGGGTTAATAGAGCACTGGGCTGATTTCTGCCACGGCTGGGAGCCCTCGAGGCTCAGCCCCCAGCTCAGGGGCAGCAGCAGCATCTCCCCAAAGCCCCGGGGGTCCCGGCGCCTGCCCCACACCCCCCCCAGCTCGCAGGGTGGGAAGCAGCTGGTTCATGGGCAGCTCACGAAGGGAAGGCGAAGGAGTGAAGCTGCCCAAAAACAAAACAAATGCTGCCCCGTGTCCTTGGGGATAAGGGGTCGGGAGCTTTTGGGAGGGCAGAGCCGGGGCGGAGGGGGTGATGGACACCAAGGTCAGGACTGCAGCCTGCCCTGGGGAAGAAATCTGCTTGGGATCTGCCAGGGAGGGGTTTAAAGCCCCCCCCCTCCCCAGCCTCCTGCGTGCTAAAGCGGAGGAAACGACGGTGGAGCAGAAGCATCAGCGAAGCCCTGCCGCCCTGGGAGCGCACCACGGGTGTTACTGTGGTGGTTCTCCCAGTGAAAACCCACTCGCAAAGCACCCGGCTTCCCCCCGGGCCCCTCCTGGGGAAGGCAGCAGGAACAATTCCCTCCCCCGCCAGCGGGGACAGGAGCATCCCCAGCCCCTCTGCACCTCCCTGGGAGTCTTGTATAAAAGAGGTTTGATGGGGAGCAGAGGGAGACTTGGGGGCTTTTGCCTTTTATCTCCCCAGAGCTAAAAAAAAGGTACAATTAAACAATTCTTTTAGCTCCTAAAACTCCCAACAATCGCTTTACTGAAGCAGCTTCATTATATCTGCCTGGCTAGATAAGGATGCTTCTCTCTTCCTTCCCTCCCTTCTTCTTGTCCCCATCCTTCCCTCTCTTTTTTCCACAACCCCTCTCCCCTCTCCAATATCTCCAGTACGATCGAGGGCTGAACGCTTAGGGCTGGAGGCGGGGAAGGAGCTGAAGTGCCAACGGTGTTTGAGGGACGCAGGTGAGGAGCAGGGCTGTCCCTCCAGACCCAGCGGTGATGGGCACCACAGTTATCCCACTGGAGCTGCTGGGTCTCGGTGGAGAGCCGAGATGGCTGCAGGGAAGAGGGGAAGAGTTTAGGAGAGGAGTGGAGGGACCCAGGGCACAGAGGAGAGTGGGAGAAGGAGCTTGGAGGGAGCGGAGCTGAGAGCTGGGGTGGAGGAGCAGCTCTGGACCACCCATGGGGCACTTAGAAGAGAAAAAAAAAAAAAAAAAACCAAACAGCAAGAAAAAATGTGTGGGGAAAGGATCCTGCCCCGGGACGGAGCAGGGCACTCTGCAGCTGTTCCCATGCAAAACTCAAAGCCACCGGAGCTTATTAATATTTCCACTCACTTCCTAAGAGAGGCAGCAAGCCTGACTCTGCAAAGGGACCCTCGGAGCCGGAGCAGAGGGTTTGTCCCAGCGGAGGCAGCCGAGCCTCTGCCAGCACCTCGCTCCTACCCACAGCGGGCTCTGAGAGCGGTGTCGGACTCGACCTGAGAAGAAAACAGCCATTTCAGGCCCGCTTCTGCCTGACCCCCACTGTACATCACCCCCCCCCCCCGCCCCGCACTCAGCTACCTGCGGTGCTCAGGGGTGTTTCAGCCATGGTAAGAATATTATTTGCAACAAGGCAACCGAGCGGTAGAAGGGGGGTCCCTGAGCACCCTGCTGAGACGTGCCCAGGGCACACGGCTCCTCTTCCCTCTTCCCAGCTCAGCCCGAGCTCGGCAGCCTGTCCTGGCAGAGAGGCCAGCACCTCTCTTCTCCCCAAACCAGCCAGAACAGAGCCCGCAAGCACCGATACAGACCTGTACTCGCAGCCAGGATGGATAAACCCTCACCGTGCTAATGCCACAGGCAGCCTCTGGCCCCGAGCTCAGCCTCTCCCCAGGACCCCGCCGTCACCAGGCGAAGCAAATCGGGCCGCGCTGGGCAGCTCCTGCTGTGGGGCTGGGGCCGGCAGCAGCCCCCCAGACCCCCCCAGCTCACGTTCCATCCTGCTCTCTCGGCAGGGACGATGCACCGGAGCACGCTCGGGCTGGCCGGGCATCGCCCTTGCACGGGGGGGATGGAGCCCTGCGAAGGTCCCGGGCAGCCGCGTTGCTCGGCCACACTGCAGACTTGCCAGCTCCCATCTGTTTGGATCTCCTCTGCTGCGCCACAGGATGGGGATCAAGGCAAAGGCCCCCTAAAATCCACCCTGGCCAGCTTAGGAAACAGCTGGCACGGAGCTGGCAAGCCCAGCCCCGGGCAAGGCAACACAACGGGTTATTTACCGAGTACATAAACCCCCGGCTCCAGACCCTGGTTGGACACTGATCTGGATTAAATCCTCATAATCCCACTCTCATCATTTAATCCAGCATCTGACTCCAGGTCCCATCTGGTGCTGTGCTGAGCTCTCAGGATGGGCACTGGAGCTCAGCACCCCAAAAGGGCCGGGCTGTGCTGGGGATAAGGAGACCCCGCCAGCCCCCAGCTGCGGTGCTGGGAGTGGGGACGGATGTTTCAGCATCGCTGGCTGTGCTGGGAGTCACCTCGGGCTCTTGCTGTGGGACCGGGGTGAGCCACTGCACCTTTCTGTGCCACCTCCCGGCACAGCATCCCTCGGAGCTGGCACTGGGGAGGGCAACAGCTCTCCTCACGTGGGGCTCCCACCTGATGCTTCTTGCACCCTTGCTCTCCATTACTCTCCTCCATCCCTGCCTGTCTCCCTATCTATTAAAATTTTAAAAATATATTAAAAAATAATAAAAATATATATTTCTCTCGTGCGTTACCTGCATCCCTGCGCCTGCTTGCATACTCATCTCCTTGGGCTGGTGCTCGAGGTCTCCTGCCCTGAACTCCCAGACTTTGGCTCACAGCTCTGAAAGCCTGGCCCAGACCACTGCTCCCAGCCCACGCAAATTTCAGAAACAAAGGGATGGGGAAAAAAGAGCAGGCACAGTCCCTCTGCTCTCCCCGCACCTGCAAAAGCCTTTCCATGGCCACTGCAGGTGTAGCCCCCTCCCCAGCTCAGTGCTGCTTCACCGGGCTGCTCTGGGACAGAGCTGAGCCTCCTCCATCCCAGCCTTTAGAGAAAAGTGTCTGTGCTGGGGCAGCGCGATAGGAAAAGCCTCTCCCTGCAGAGCTGGGGATGCTCCCAGTGCCAGGGCACTGGAACAGTTGAGGATGCACTGAAGGGGGCTGGGGACCCTGGCCCCACTGGGAACCCCCCCCCTTGGGCACGGGGTCCCTTAGGGCGTGCAGGGAATCGGGGCTGAAGCCTGGGCCACTCATCCCAGCGCTGCCAGCGAGGGTCAGCAGCGAATAAAGCTGTGAGCAAAGCTGGGAGAAAAACAACATCTGTCCCTCCCACAGCTTTGCTTCGGTCAACATTTCCAAGGAAAATTTTAATTGAAATTTGAAACATTTTTTTGGAGAAACCCTGAGAGCTGTTAAAGAAATGGAGGCGGGGGAGGGAAGGATTTCCAGATACCTGTCCTGTAATATTTCCCCCGCCCCCCCCATTTCTCTGCCTGCCTGACCCTGCCACAACGTCACTGGGGGGTCTCAGACCAGCCTGGTCTCTCCTGTCTGCTTGGGGGTCATTCAGCCCAGCTCTCAGCACGGCGGTACCTGCCCTTCCTTCCCTCCCTCCGAGATGCCGGGATGAGATCCCAGTCCCTCCATCCCCACCCTGGGCCCCAGTAATGGCTGAGGGGGCTCTGGCAGAGCAGGGGGCTGTGTCATTAGTGCCCTGGGGTGTGGGACAGTGGAGCTTTGCAAAAACGGACTCCTGTTGGTGTCTGGACAATCCCTCTGAGACCCCCCCCTCAGCCTCACACCATCAGGAACCTGGTCACCACGCAAAGCAGCTCTGACCCCTCTGCAAAACAAACCGATGTCAGTGCATCACAAACTGCTCCATTCATTCATTTATTCATTCATTCCTACCGAACCCCGCTCATCTTTAATTATTGATGCTCTCAGAGTGCTGATGGCTGTTTTGTAAGAGGAGCAGAGCCCAGGTAACGGGACACTTCCCCAGCAGACACCTCCTCACCTGGAGTCTGGCTGCAAATCCCTCCTGGGGAGCATCCCCCGGCCGGGATGCAGCACCCCCGGCCCCTGGGCATCGCCTCGCCAGGCCCCCCCAGCCCAGGCATCAGCTCTCGAGTTTCAAACCAGTTTCAGACAGAGCAGCCCAGCTATCCCAGTACTGCATGCACAGGGCTGTGGTGCCACATCCCAGCTCAGGCGCTCGATCCCGGTGAGCAGGGGCCGGTGTGGAAGTGCCTGAGCCCTTCTGCATCCCCGTGCAGCGTTTCACAGCAGCTCCACCAGCAAAGCCCCTGCGCAGGGAGGGATTTCCAGCAGCCCAGCTCCTGCCTCCTGAGATGGAGAAGCCAGGAGATGCCCAGCTGGGAAGAAAAGGAGGAAAAACTGGAGATAACTGGGGCTGCAGAAGCAAAAGTGGAAGAAATGAGAGGCCCGGGGTGCTCTGGGCATCATACAAAGGGATATACTACAAGGGGTATACTACAAGGAATATACTACAAGGGATATACTACAAGGAATATACTACAAGTCTCTCTCATCCAAGGGGGTTGTGGCCTCTCCATCCCCCTCACCGGCCCCCACCCCTCTCCCCCCGGCTGCGTCTTGCCGCCAAATTAAAAGCGTACCGCTCACGGCAGCAATAATTCATCCAACGTCTAATGCTCAACATTTTGTCAGGATTATCCCGATTAACCCAGAATTAATCCTGATCTCAATGTTAACAGGATTAGCGTTAAAATCGGATTAGTGTTTTAAACCGGACCCTTTGACTAAAGAACGGGGCCTTCCCCACCAGATGTGCACAGCCTGCTCCCGGCAGCCAGATGTGAGCGGGAGCCGGGCAGGAGCTCCCATGCGTGGGTGAAGTGGGGTACCCCTACCGCAAGCACCCCCGTGACACCGGCATCCATGGCGCCTGCCCCGCAAAGCACACGAGCTGCCTGGCCCTCTGAAGGTGATGAGCAGGAGCCTGACCCTCGGATGTCGTCAGAAAACACCCTTTTGCCCTTGGACATGGCCCACTGGGGACACCGGTGGCTGCTTGCCCCCTCTCCGCGTTTTTTTTTTTTCCCCTTCCTGCTGGCACCAACAGCCTCCCACCTTCGCCTGCCTGTATGAATATTTAAAAGCCTGGATCCTCTGCAGCCTCATGAATATTGACGGCTGCTGGTTGCCTGCCACGGTGGTGGCGGTCGCTCGCTCTCGATCCCTCTCGGTCCCCACCCGGGGATGGGCAGCGGGGTCAGCAGCGCCGAGGTCGGCACCAGCGGGGCTGTCGGGGGTTTGGGATGCTTCCCCGGGGGAAGGCAGATCAGATCCCTGCCACGCCGTCACTCCAGCCGTGCTGATGACTCTGCGTTCCGACCCCCAAACCACTGGCTTTCTGCCCAAAAGCACGGGGGTGGAGCCGTCTCACTGCTGGCCGTGGGGGAGCAGAAGGTCCTGGCATCACCCACGGGTGCGGGGACACGCCGTGCCCACTCATCCTCATTTCTTGGCTCCCACGGGGAGGGTAATCATGAACCTCCTAGCATAGGTGTCTGGTCTTTTGTTCCTGGAGCTTTTTTCCCCGTGCCTTGGCCAGGCGTGTCCCACCTGGCATCCGTGGGGTGAGCAGCAGCCCTGCCATGAGACCCTGGACAAGGGGGGGGGGGCTCCCAAAATGGGCCTAATCCAGGCTGAGGCGCTCCCAGGAGATGGACTATGGAAGGGCACGTGGCAGGAGATATTTTTGGGCAGGGGGGAGGGTGCCAGTCCTGCCTCCATCCCCGCTACATCAGCCCCACGTGGACATTCACCCCAGCCATCCTCTTCCTCGCGGGCGCTGAGCGGCGGTCACGCTCAATCCCTGCCCGCCGGCGACGCTGCCTCGTGTGACAGCATCTTCCAAAAATAAGCAAATTACTGCATCCTTCAGGGATGCTGGCGGATGGGAAGCAAAGCCAAAGTGTGAGAAAGCAGCAGAAAAGGGATGGGGGGGTTGGGGAGTGGAGAAGGGACAAGCCCTCGCTGGGGGTCACAGGGCTGCAGCCACTGAGGGAGGGGAGCCAGTACGGGCTGCAAAGCAGCGGGGACACTCGGGTTAGCAGCATTAGTGACGGGGACTTCATGGTGACAGGTGACAAGGCTCAGCTCTTTGGCATCTGAGGCATGATTTGCTTTAACAGCTGTATACAGGGAGGCCAGGCTCTGGTTAACATGTGCGGGTGCCTCTTGGGAAAAAGGCTCGGAGGAGCTGGTTTGAAGTGCAAAAAAAAAAAAAAAAAAACCAAAAAAAAAAAAGAAGAAAAAACCCACAACTTCAGCAGCAACAGCTGTAAGTAAACAGCCCCAAACCTGGGACGCCGGCCCAGACACACGGGTCGTGCTGATGCATCTCCCCTGAGCACTCACAGGCAAGTCACACAGTCCCACCGTGCCTCAGTTTCCCCATTCCCGCGCTAAGGACGCTACGCTCATCCCTGCTGCGATAACAAATAGCGGCAACACCCAGGATCGACAGATAACCAAGCACTGCCGAGCAGCTCCCGTGGACCGCTCACAAAACCAGCGAATGCCCCACAAGCAGAGAGCAAGGAGGAGGTGGTACCTCCTGGGTACACCCCAACATCCTCCTCCTGCGAGCAATAAAATATTACGCAGTAAATGCCGGTCCCCGAGGAGCGCGGCGGATGCCAAGGCTGCCAGGAGGGCACGGGGAGGAGGGCTGGGGCAGGAGCCGCAGGATTACGGGAGCTAAGCCTGCCTGGTATTTGCTCGGCTCCTGCAAGTAAATAGCACGGCCTGCCTGTAACACCGGCCGGGCAAACGTCTGGCGTCCCCGGCCTGGCGATGCGCTGGAAATGGCCTCCTGCTAACGAGACGAGGGGCTCCCGGGAAGCTCCGTGCCCCGGCTGGGGCGGAGGAAGAGGAGCGGCAGCCCGAAGCCCTGATGAAGCCAGCGGCGGCTGCTGGAGCAGGAGCTGAGCACCTACAGCACAACGCCGGTGACACAGCCCCAGACAGTTGTTTTAAAAATTGTGTCCTGGATATATATCCCCCCCTGCCACCACCTCCCTCCCACATCTCAGTTATTTTTTTTCCCCACTAGCTTTTGCTTTTGTCCCTTTGATGTTCTTTTAAAGTCCTGGCACCAAAGGAGCTCATCTGAGGCTCTGCCTTCAGTTCTTCCCATTCCTCCTCCAGCTCACCACTGACAGCAAGGAGCCAGCCCACCCCCCACATTAGCACAGCAGGACCCCCCCCAGCCCTCAGTACTGCCTCACCGCTCTCCGCAGCATCCCTGGGGAGGGATTTGCCCCCCGGCCAGATTCAGGGCTGAGTGCCCAGAGCCCCCAAGCCCTGCAAACCCTGGGGCTGAGCTGCTCCTGCCCAGGAGAGGCTGACACCCAGGACGTGGGCTTGGCTCACGCTGAAAGGCAGGGACGCAGGCTGCGAGCCGGGATGAGGGTTTAGGTGATGGAAAAGAAAGCGGGTACTGGGCTGTCCCGGCCAAGGGACTCCAGCATCTCCCTGGGGACTTGGGGACCGGCAGTGGCATGGCAATGCCCACGGGGCAGCTGGATGGATGCGAGCATACGGCCCGACCCAGCTGGCAGGACATGAGCGGGGCTGGTTCAATCTAGAAGTGAGCGCAGAAGGCACCGGGCAGGAGGACAGAGCACAGGGCTGCTGCCGGACCCGCAGACATGAGGGGACAAGGAGGATGGAACATCTGGGGCCAGCGCGATCGCCTGGACCCCCCTCCGCAACGACGGCACCGCCGCTGCCATACAGGAGCTTCTGCTCATCTCCAGCACCCCGATCAACAAACCCGGCGACGCAGGGGCCCCCCTTCCCCCAAAGCCCACGCCTGGAGAGCCCCAAATCGCAGCCACCACTTGGCCCTCGCCGGTCCCCAGGCAGATGGGGGGATGCCAGGGCAGGAGCAGAGCAGGTCCTGCAGCGTGCCGCGTTCCTGGGTGTCCCTGGGAATTTGGCACAGCCCTTCCCACCATCCGATCCCCTCCATCCCCCAGCATTCGGGGTCTGGACACAGCCCCCCCCACACACACACTTCTTTGGCCAAGGGATGGAGAAGGCCTGGCTCTGCCCCCCCAGCAGCGGGAGGGTGGCAGCTGGACGCAGACCCGGAACCTACAGGGTCATGAAAGTTTTATTTTAGGGAGAGAATGGGGGGGGGGGGCAGAAGGCAGCTTGCCCAGCCGAAGGCCATGCCTGCAGCTACAGAAGACCCCAGGGGACACAGGTGGCTGCGGTGGCCTCAAGGAAGCCCCCAGCACCTGCTGCCAGGATCAGCCCCCCCACAGGGCTCCCCCCGGGAACAAGCCATCCCCCCAGCTGCCTCTGGCTCGTGCCCCACTTGGCAGGGGGGTCAGGCAGCCGGGGGCCTCCCCCAGCCAGGGAGGGGAGGGTGATTTAACCCCTAACCCCTTTCCACAGCAGCTACAGCTGGGGAAGATGCTCCGCTTGCAACGCAAAGTGCTCCCAGGCTCAGGTGGAAAAATAGGGAGGTAGAGAAAACGCACCCTCTGTGGCTGCAAACGCCCAGTTGTTGCCGGGGAGGACCCCTCTGGGGTGGGTGGACCCCTAAAGTTTATCCCCGTTTTATTTCTTACAAAAAATGGGGAATAAAATAAATAAAAATGAGGCTTTTGTGCCTTCCCCCCCTCCCGCCCCAGTCCCCGGAATGTCCCTGAGAGCACGTGGTTGAAACCGGCCGGTGAGAACTCGGACAGCTGAATATTCAGGGAGCCGCCGCTCACACGCGTTTTACGCTGCAACTACTTCAAGAATGAAAACTCGGAACAAGTGCGCATATTATGCATTTTACGGCTCCTCTGCTCTCCACTGCCAACCGAGGAAAGCGCCTGTTTTTTCCACAGGAAGAGCAAACCCACCGGGGACAACACGCCAAGGTCATCCAGCAACACGCCTGACCTTGAAGTGTTGCCACCGCATCCCTGGGCGAGGAGGAGGGAGGAAGGGGAGTTGCGATGACATGCGTACTTCACCCTGCCAGACAATAAGGCAACTGTTTGCAAGGTGCTGGCAGGAATCACCGGGCAGGCACAGACCCTCGGCGCTGCCAGGAGACTCCCGCCAGGGTCCCCTTTGTGTAGCCTGGAAGAGGTGGGTTTAGGCACAAAGATCCCGGGCGCAATAAAGCAAACACTAATGATTTCTCCATTCGGTCGCTCCTGCAGCAGCCTCAGGCTGAACAGGCTGGAACCGTGATGCCCAAGCGACAGAGCAGAGGATGGAGACAGAGATGCGATGGCCAACGCAGGACAGAGCCGCCCCTTCCCCGCCCGTGGGGCCCAACACCCCCAGCCCAACAAATAACTTTGCTGCCTGGTCTAGAAATCCCTTGACACGCGCCCGTCTCTGGGGTCCAGCCTGGCGTTTGTGTTGGCGAGCCCCTTTCCTCCCCCCTCTCCACCAACCCCACCTCCTGCAAGGTGAGGGCAGAGCCCGGTTTTAGGGAGCAGCACACCAGCACCCCTCATCCCGAGACCCCCCGAGCTCGTCTCCTGCCCATCGGCGTGGGCTCT